AAATGCCACATAGTACAATAAATACAAAATACAACTAATATAAATGTTGGTATGGTTAACCTAACAAAAATGGCATCTTTATTAACATTTAGCTCATCCCTTCAACCAAACATTACATAGAACCTTTCAAGCGCAAAATTCTCTAACTCCTTTCATTTGACTAGTGAAGTGGTGTCACGATTTAAACCCATTAAAAAATATGTGAATAGACTACTTAACGGCTACACTCATTCTGATTAAAAAACAAACATTACGTAGAGTAAAACAATATCCCCTTTAAAAAAAAAGAAACAATATTTTGTTATTTCTATATTTAACTATTGATGTTACTTTGAGCGTAGCGAAAGAATTGAATTTATGAAAATAGAAAGAAACCAAAATGATGATTTTTTTTGTTTTGCTAAACTAAAATGATGATTGTCAAACACAAGAATGCATGTCAATGGACCAATGATGGGAGCTAGCCAGCAAGAGTTACAATTTAAGAGATGATTTTTTTTCAACACCACTTTATGTTTTATACAAATGCATAAAAAAGCAAATTTGACTATATTTTATAAACATAATTAATGGTAGTTAGTAGTTGCTCATTATGATATAAAAGTGTCTGTCTTATATTCAGAAAAAAAAACCTTACACATGATAAATTTTCTACCCCTAATTTTACTTTTAATCATAGTCACTGTTTGTCCAATTAATTCTTTGACAATGACTTCCCACTAAACCCTAAAGAAAACAAATAGATTTGGTATGCCATACACTTTCCTTTGTCTTCGATAATATTCATTCTTCAAACATTTCACAAAAAAAACATTAGGTCAAAGTCAATAATAATACATAGAATTTGATAAGAAAATCGACCTATGTTTTGGTGAATTTATACCAAGCTAAATGCAATGAAAAAGAGACTATTGATATATATATATAAGCATGATACAATCGTTGTTGTGTCACAATTCACATTCAAATCAACTGAATGTATGGTAGAGAAAAATAAATGCAATCTAACTTTCAAAGAAAGAAATTATGATCATTGGTAGATTGGACTACCAATGGAAATA